TCAATAGCATTTTGCACGCTGGGACTTAATCTTAAGACTGTACCAGGCTATAGTCTCTGTCCTCCACCACTCTTATGTTAAAGCTAGAAGCTATGCTGTCCTTATTTTTGTACATGTCTTTTTCTTCAGCTACACTGTAAATTGTCTGAGGCAAAGATTATCTTTGCTTTTGTGTCTTCCACAGATAGCACAGATTAAACATGTAAACAGATACTCCACAACATTTGCTAAAGCCAAGTAAACGGAGTGCATTCCAGTAAAGGTTCACCATATAAGTCAACAGTGGAGAGACATTCAATGTTTTAAAACCTTTTGAGAAGAACAAATAAGTTGTTCAGAGTCTCAGTCTTTTCCTTTTATAATTTCTGGTTAAATCTAGTTCTTCACGCACAGTGTCTAACTCTTGAAATAGTTCCTAAACAGCACCATAAGCCGGCTGGGCAGGATGATCAAACCTGCAGGCCCACAGGTATAGATAGTCCTGACTAGGGAATGGAAGCAGGTATCAGTTACTCACTACTCTGTTCTGGGATTCACTACTACATATAAATGTTGACAATTACATTTGAAAAAGAATTAACAACCCAAATGAAATACAGGATGTATTTGGATTTTTGAATTAACTGATTTGAGACATTGCTTCGGGAAAAAAATGTAAGGCTATTAAACAAAAGAATTTCCAGGTTGTATTTCTTTAAGGAACTTACTCTGGAAATACTTTTCTCTAGGATTTGTTATTCTTTTGTGTAAACTTAAAAAAAATGTTTCTGTTAAAAACTATCAAAGGGTCTCAGCATACAGCTTTTACAAAGGGACTGTGGGTATTTCAAAATTACAAAGCTTCCCTTTTAGGAGCCATGACATCAATGTGGGAATGGTCACAGTCTACTTCAGGAACAAGAAAGAGCCCTAAGGTCAGCACGCTGAAGTAGCTATTCACATGGAGTACTGAACAGAAGATATATTATCCAACCAAACACTGAGAAAATGGAAATACTTAATATCAGCAACTTAAAAAATGTGTCCACTTCCATTATGGTCTTTAAATGTGATTGCAAATTAGAAGAATCTATTTACTTGGTTTTAAAGAACAGATTATTATCCAGAAGAATTCAGCAGGAGGATTTCTGCCTCCTCCTATGATCAGTAGCTTGTAGTTAGACCAAAGCTTCAAAAGAACAGCTTGAAAATCTGGATTAAAAAAACAACAACTGTGTGAAGGTTTTGGAGAGCTATGGAGGCAACCAGGACTTAAGGGGCCAAGATCCAAGAGATAAAGGAACCACAAATTGATGCTGAGATATTCTGAGAGCCACATTTCCCCTCTGGTAAGAGGCTGAGGATCATGGCAGAGGACCTGAACAGGCACTTCACAAAAATCGATAATAAACATTTGAAAAGGTACTCAAGCCTTTGGCAATAGAAAATTTGACTTAAAACCATAGGAGATACCACAACACACCCACATAGAACAGCTAAAAAAAATTTTTTTTAAATGGCAACACCAAGGGCTGGCAAGGATCTGGAATAATGGTAATTCTCATACAATACTAATGGAGGCAAATCATATAATCTCTTTGAAAAACTGCTTGGCAGTATCTCCTAAAGCTAAATATGTGCAGAAACTATGAGCTAGCAATTGTACTTGTATGTATTACACAAGAAAAAAGTCTCCATATGTTCAACAAAATACAGGTACAAGAGTGTTGTCAACAGCATTACTTGTTAAAGCTCCAAACTAGGAACAAATCAAATGTCCATCAGTAATACAACAGATAAACTTATTTTGGTACAAATGCACAGTGGAATACCAAAGGGCAAAGAAAAAGAACAAGCCATGTTCTGCCATATGCAACAAAAGGAATGAAGGTAAACACCAAAGAGTACTATGATATGATTCCATTTTATACAAAGTTAAAAAGCATGAAAAACCGAGGCCAGAGAGGTCAGAATCATGATTATTCTTGTAATGGGGGTCAATGGCTGGAAAGGGACATAAGCGAGTCTGCTGGTGTATCACTCATGCTCTATATTTTGATGTGGGTGGTAGTTCAATGGGATGTGCACTTTGTAAAAATTCACAGCATGTAGTTATGTTTTGTGCACTGATTCATTAGATGCCATGGCAAGCTGCAGATATCCGCCTATACTTATTCTCTTCTTTCTCCTCTTGGTTATACAATATTATAGCCATGTTACAGCGCCTGGGCACCATTTTTATAGACTCAATATGAAAACTTCTTTGTGGAGCAATTGTGCAAAGTGGTGACTCTGAATACAACTCCCAATTTTAGTTATGTGTATCGTTATTTAAATAGACTGTACTTGTCAGTTTCTTGTGTAGCTCAAAATCCCCTGTAACTAAGTTCTGGCCAATGCGATGGAAACAGAAGTAAAAGTGCCATTTCCAGGTCCTTCCAGTAAGAAGTGTGGTTGTGCAGTTCCCTGGCTCTTTATTCCCTCCCTAAGAACTGGGAAATGGCCAGGTGGAAAAGCTGCCTTGGGCCCAGAGATAGAAGCTATTGTTGAGAATGGCACAGCCTCCTACTAAATCTACCCACCTATGTCTGCACTGGTACGTGAGAAAGAATAAAGCTTCTAGCTGGTTTGAACCACTGATCTAGGGAGTCTCTTTGTCACAGAAGCTAAGATGGTACCCTAACTAATACAGGCATTAAAACATTCCATTGAAGGTAGTTACAATTTGAAAACTTTGTAGTTGATCCCTGAACAACTCAGGTTTGAACTGCATGGATCCATTTATATACGGACTTTTTTTTGGCGGGTGGGGGGGATATAGTACAGTACTGTATTTTCTTTCCCTTATGATTTTTTCCTTAATATTTTTTCCATAGCTTATTGTCAGAACACACTGAATAGTACATCTAATATGCAAAATATGTGTTAATTGACCGTTTATGTTATTGGTAAGGCTTCCCAGTCAATAGCAGGCTATCAGTAATTAAGTTTTTGGGGAGTGAAAACTTACACACAGATTTTCAACTGCATAGGGGGTCGGTGCCCCTAACGTCCCTCCCACACTGTGTTGTTCAAGCATCAACCATACTTTTATTGTTCAATATTTGTCAAAGACAATAGTATTTAATTGCTTTCTTGTCAGTGCACCACCACAAAACCTAGAGAAGACTCTAGAAAAAAGCACAGTACGGGGAAAGAGCATTTTCTCACAAGAAAGCTGCTCTAGTATCCTGCTATTTCTGCCTCTAGTGACATGGGACTTAGTTTTTTTAACCTGTAAAATATAAAGGTGTCTGGATGTCCCCAATGATCTTGTCTGTGTTTAATGTTCGTTGACTTTCCAAAAAAGACTTAATGACCCTCATGCAATTACAGTCGGCTGGAGGCCACAGTGGGAAAAGGCCTGTATTTCTGTGACATCCTTGTACACATGACTTGAAGGAAGCTTTTTCAAATATGGAGAACAATGCTTTAAAAAAAATTTTTTTTTGGGGCGCCTGGGTGGCGCAGTCGGTTAAGCGTCCGACTTCAGCCAGGTCACGATCTCACGGTCCGTGAGTTCGAGCCCCGCGTCAGGCTCTGGGCTGATGGCTCAGAGCCTGGAGTCTGTTTCTGATTCTGTGTCTCCCTCTCTCTCTGCCCCTCCCCCATTCGTGCTCTGTCTCTCTCTGTCCCAAAAAATAAATAAACGTTGAAAAAAAAATTTTTTTTTTGAGAGAGAGAGAGAGAGAGAGAGAGAGCACGAGTGCATGGGAGTGTGAGAGACTCTTAAGCAGGATCCACACTGAGCACGGAGCCCAGCGCAGGGCTCGATATCATGACCTGAGCCGAAATCAAGAGTCGGACGCTTAACTGATTGAGCGACCCAGGCTCCCCGGAGAATAATGCTTTTTATTACGTAGACTGTTTATACAATTAAATCACAATAAATGGTACATTTTCCAGGTGCCCTCTTTAGTAATCCCAGCATCAGTAAGCACCAAGTATTAGCAACAACAAAAAAGAGTGTTTAAAACATGAAGCATTCATGACCCTTAGTGCATCAAGGTATATTGAATTAATGTAGCCAAATTGAAGTAAGGACAGAAGAAGAGGATCAATAAACAGACAGATATGCTTTGGATGCTGGATCTAAAAAAACAAAATGGTTTCTATTCTTTCTGAATCCTTTAAGGGCCTATTATAGTTTACATATGACCTAAGAGTTGAGTTTGTGTATTTTTATTAAGTGAAAATTTTTTTGGGGTGCCTGGGTGGCTCAGTCAGTTAGGCATCTGACTTCAGCTCAAGTCATGATCTCACGGTTCATGAGTTCGAGCTCCACGTCGGGCTTTGTGCTGACAGCTTGGGAACCTGGAGTCTGCCTCTGATTCTGTCTCCCTCTCTCTCTGCCCCTCCCCCACTCATGCTCTGTCTCTCTGCCTCTCAAAAATAAAGAAATGTAACAAAAAAAATTTTTTTTTAAGTTTTTTAATGTTTATTTATTTTTAAGAAAGGGGGGTGAGGGGAAGAGAGAGAGAGAGGGAGACAGGATCTAAGAGGCCTCTGTGCTGACAGCAGAGAGTCTAATGTGGGGTTCGAACTCATGAACCATGAGATCATGACCTGAGTGGAAGTCAGATGCTCAACTGACTGAGCCACACAGGCATTCCTTTATTTTTTTTCAATGTTTACTTATTTTTGAGGTAGAGACAGAGACAGAGAAAGAGAGAGAGAGAGAGAAAAGGGGAGGGAGGGAGGGAGACACAGAATCCAAAGCAGGCTCCAGGCTCTGAGCTGTCAGCACAGAGCCTGATGGAAGGCTCGAACCCATAAACTGTTGAGATCATAACCTGAGCTGACGTCCGGCACTTAACTGACTGAGCCACCCAGGTGCCCCTGGATTGTGTGTGTGTGTTTTTTTAAAGGAATATATTTGCAATATTTTGTGAGACAATGAATGATGTTTGCTAGTACACAGGTGACATTAAAAAAAAATCCTCCATATTTTATATGGTTTAACTATATACAAGTTATCTTACCTGGGGGTTTTTAAATACAGCGTATTTTTCCTCTTTCTCCAAAAATAGCACTTTATTTTCTGTGTCTCTTGTCCAGTCTGATAAGACTTCAACAACATTTTCATGGTCTTCAAAAATCCTTTCTGATGAAACAAGAAAAAGCATTCTTTCCAACCCAAGACATTAGGGTTTCCAACAGAGAATTAAGCTAGTATTGAGTTAAATACAATGCTTCATTCTTCTCATCGGTTTTTAGAAATTCCTAATTCTTCCATGATGTCACATTGTAACACCCCTATTATGTTTCTTCTTCAGTGTCAGGTCTTCAACTTATTTTCCACAAAAAAACATGGCAGATGACCATACAATATCATGATAATGGCCAGCCACTGCACTTTTTTCTTATCTGCATTTTTACTTTTTACTTTAAACAGTCTCAGATGGAGGTAAACATCTTATCCATAAGGAGGACCATGAAGCAATAATTGGCTAAACAACTCTGAAGGAGGCTATGAGACATGTGATATGTTCTCTGAAACATCACCTCTAAGACACTAAAAACTACATATGCATATCTGAACCAAACCTAAACATACAGGAAGGCTTTCATTTCTCTATTTGACTCAGAGAGTTGCAAAATACCTCAAGAGATTCTTTCAGTGTACACCATTTCATTCATTAAAAAAAAAAAAAAAAATTCACTGAAAGCTTTGAAGGCAGGCAATTCTGTATTCCACCAAGCTCTCCTGAGAGAGACAACTGTTCTGAGTGATTTTAACAATGAGAAGTAACAAGAGTATTTCTTTAATTGCTTTTTCACTTTTTTTTTTACTCCAATTCTACCAACTGTCCTTTGCTCTTTGGAGCTGAGCCTCTTCAACCAAAGTGTGAGTGGGGACGGTGGAAGGGGAAATGAACATTGATGTATGGCAGAGTTACACTATAGTGTAAAGACGCAAACTCTAAAGAGACATTAGCTGACAGATACCCAGGCCCTCCCACAATATGTTCAACTTACTAAACATGCAGTAAGAGGTCTCATCCTATCACTTTCTCTTTCTTATGGAACCACTACAGCTGCGGCAATAATAGTGTTTACATCCCCCAAGGTCTGGCTACTTGTTACAATCTGAGGCTCTTCACTACAAAGGAATGAAGAGGCAAGCACTGAATCTGCCATAAGGGGAGTGATTTATGGGAAATCTTGATAGTCTTGAACCAAATTCTTCTTAATAAGAGACCAAAACCCATAATAAAGCAAACCCACAGGTTTTTGGAGCACAGTCTAACACTGGGGATAGGACTTACCAATTTGAAGTTCTGGGTATATTTCATAAAGACACCAGTCTACACTGCAGTCACAATGGGTTTTGTCAAAAAGGTTGTCTAGAACATCCCGGGCTGATTGCCGCTCATCCACCATCAACGATTTAGTGCTGTTATCATTCATGTGCACCTTGACAACAAGCTGAGGATAAAGCCACAGGGCAGCTAGTAAATTTCAGCAACTGGAGAAGGCCATGAAGATTAAGGTTTCAAAGTTGTTATTATTTCTGTGAATTTAAGTAAGAAGGTCTCCTGCAAAGTCACTCAATATGAACTCACTCATATGCTTAGTACTGCTTAAGGTGCAAAAAATACGGAGATGGAAAAACCTATTCACAAACCAAAAATAAAAACCCACAAGCCAACACAACAAAACAAACAAAAAAACCCAAACTGAAAAAACCGCATAATAAACAAAGTCCTTGCCCAGCCTTCAGAGACCCTGCATTCTGGTGAAGCAGACAGAAAACAAACAGGATCAAAGAAGTGCTGACTTCCTGCTCTCCTGATATCTTTCTATAGTTGTTGAGGTTCATCCAGGAGCCCAGAAGCATTTCTTGTTTGAAAGCATATCTATAATAAATTCTTCTCTTTTGCTTAGCTGGAGTTGAGTCCTATTTCATGCAACCCAAGAGTTCTGAGATACAGAAAAGATCAAGTTGGTTAAACTACAATTCTTTTGAAGGTCAAGAGTACATAGCGACACAATACCACTGAGGGGCCTTACGGGAGGGTTACAGACTGTGTCATAGCTGAGTATCTTTGAGATTTGAGGTGGATTAAGCAAAATGAATTATGGAGGCATGAAGGCAAATTAATGATCAAATTTACTTTTCATTCCATTTTTTAAAAAAATTCTACTGCACTGAGTTCACAGTGAAATTGGTAGTTATCCCATTCCAAATCTGGAGGGTTTGGTGGGAGCAGAATTTACTCATCTTCAAATAAGGACATAGGATTTCACTGATTTTTCCCAGGCAACTTGTCAAAGTTATAAAATATTCCGACCACCCCCCCACCCACCCCAGAGAGACCATGATTCTGATTTAATATAAGAGAATTCATTCATGAAGTAATTATGATGGTGCTATATAGCCAGTCTTCAAAAGGAACAGCGGAAATGTGCCCACTGAGCCCCAATTTACTACACACATATGTTTGGGGAAGATTTCCTACAACTCCTGGAAAGCCCTGTGTTCTTATTTTAGTCTTTACCAAGATCACTGATCCTACCTAATTACATGGGAATTAGCATTAGTGAGAGTCAATCAAGTTGGAGTCTATCTCTGATTGCCATGCCGGAAGCAGATGTTGTTACCTTTTCCTTTCCAGACAACACTGCCCTGACTGACCATCAGCCTGAGGTGTCTGCAACTATACACATTATACAGAGAATTCTGTATAATAAGAATTATACAGAGAATTCCTGGAAACATCCCTAACCAGAACTGCCTGGTACCACTCTTGCTTACTTACATTTCTATTCTAACTTGAAAAGAGAAGTGTGAAACAGATAAAGACAAGTTCTGCCTATTCTGTTTGTCTAGGGTCGGTACTGGTTATTCACAGATGAGACTTACCACTATTAAAAAAGTGAAGGACTGGAGAAATGTTACATTTGGTAACATTTCTCCCTCCCCAAAAGTTTGGGTTGGGTTCTGAGCCCCTGAGAAACTGCCTCTCCTGTCCTACTTCCACCTAATCTGATCTCCAAAACGTTCTATACAGAACAGGATGAAGAGCGCAATCTTGTGGATTGTTATGCAGAGTTACTGACAGAAACCCAGGGTATGGGTGGAGACAGAAATCTGGGTGAGGGGCCCGAAGGAACCACAAGTTAGCATATGCCTTCTTTTCTCAACAGTTGCACACTGAGAGTGAAAACATAAGACATCAGGGCAGCAAAAGTGCGTATCCTCTCCACAGGATCATTCAAATTAGACCTTTAGTCCAGGTTTGTCTGCAGAATACTTTTTCTCCCTTGAAAACCTATAAAACCTGTAACCCAGGAACCTCTTGTTGGAAGGTTGCTTTTTTCCTGTATGTTTGTCTTTTGATGTATTTAAAACGATAGGTCCAAGTGCCACAAAGTCAAAGATACATTCATCTGATCTGAGGCATGAAGCATGGAGGGTTGTACAGAAACACAAACTCCTCAAATAGCGGGCTTTATTATGATTTATTTTCTGTGGAAGGCCTACCCACTGCTCTCTACTGAAAATTATTAGTATTTTTTTGTAAATATTTTTTAAGGTTATTTCTTTATTTTTGAGAGAGAGAGTGTGAGAGAGAATGCATACAAGCGAGGGAGGGGCAGAGAGAAAGGGAGAGAGAGAAATCTGTTAGTGCAGAGCCCAGCGTGGGGCTTGAACTCACGAATCTTGAGATCATGATCTGAGCCAAAATCAAGAGTCAAATGCTTAACTGATGGAGCCACCCAGGTACCCCTCTGCTGAGAATTACTGATGTGGAGTAGCTACATGTCCTAAGAAAACACGGCCAACGTTAGAATTTAGAAGACTTAATCTCCACGATGGAAAAAATAATGATGTTTGACCACATTTCATTTTTGCTTAGGTATTCTTGAGAAAAGAAAACATATGTTTGTGTTTTGTTTTGTTTTTAGATAGAGGGAAAAAAACTGAATCACATAATTTCACAGTGATGAAACTTTGTTTTTTTATTTTTTTTTGACAGAAGTTGCAAACTAAATTTAATCCATATGTAGTTATGAATGTCTACAATTACAGAACTTGGAAAATAAAGAAAAAAAACAAGAGAAGGCTGGCAACTTTTAGCAGGAAGAAATTGTATTTACTATTCTTCACAGCTTCTGTCACATTTACAAGCTGAAGAGTAGCTACACTAACACGTAATATTGCTAGATCCCAGTTATGTGACTAAGCAAGCAGAGCGCTTTTCATATCTATACTGTTGGATACAGGATAGAATGATTCAAGAATGAAAAAAACCTCCCCTTTCTAATCTGTTACAGTAAGAACTTCATGATTTCTATCATTTCTTCTTTTTCTTTTGCAAGTTGTTAAATAAAAAAATATCCTAGAATCATATACATGATCCTATACATCATATACAAAGAAAATGATATACATTTTCTTTGATTCCATGATAAAATTGACACATGGAATTGCTCTCCTGTGTCACCGAGCTTTAAAGCAAATGAACAAACCCATGAAGTTAGTGAGTGAGTCTGATCCCATTTCCAGTTCCAAAAGCTTTGTAACATAAGCTGTATGTACATCATTTGCGATCCAAAATGATGTCAACACCCTACAGAGTACTTGAGTACTTGAGTACTACAGAGTACTTCAGACTCCATTTCTATGTTGCAGACTATGTAGGAGTACATCTTAGTCATGTTAGTAATGTACAAGTGTGTCTCTGTTATTTTCTTTTTTTCTTTCTTTCTTTATATATATTTTTTTATTTTTGTCTCTGTTATTTTCTTAATGTTCTGTGCTCACAGGCTTCTGTTTTAAGGACCGTATCTGGAGTGTCTGAAATCAGACCAAACGTACAACTCAAACGTACACAGAGTGGCTTTGTTTGACATCTTCGTTGAATCAAGACAGGTTGTGCATTGTGTTTACTGTTACAATTCACCTCACCTAAATTATGGTTGAAGTTCTCTGGCTTTCTGATACGCTGCAGGAAACAGCTGCTATCTCCTCCCAGTCTCTTAACCTCTAGTTGAAGCAAATCGACTGAGCAAGCTAGCTGTCCTACCTTTTTATCTAACAATCGACTTCTCTTTTCACTTCCCCTCTGAAAATATAGCCAATGTGGCCCCCCTTTCACAAACAGTCTGGTGTTTTAAAATAGTTTGAGTAATTGTGAATTTTCTTTGTACTCATTTCCTTCTGTGTTTTTACCCTACAGATAAAGTTAGTGACCCACTGTGGCCCACGTTTATGTACAGGGAGCCACTGTGCCAATGTGGGCTGTAGAACAGGCCACCCTGCTTGTCATCCTTTCCAGTTTCCATGAAGTATCCAGGATGATCTCTGAAAACCAGATATTATCCCTGGTTAAAAACCCTCAAATGGCTTCCCAATGCACTTACACATTCCAGACTCTTCCTTGGGTCTGTGAGGCTGTGTGGCCTGGCCTGCCTCTCTGACCTCAACTCCTCCTCAACTTTCCCTCCTACTCAATGGCTCTCTGAACAATGGCCACCCAGCTTGCCCAGGACACTCTCCAACTGTATGCAGGGGGAGCTGGCCTCTTTTTGCTGCCCAGGTCTTTGCTTAAGTGGTGTCTCCTCAGAGAGGCCTCCCCCATCACTAGGTCCACCTAGGAGTGGCTCAGGTACTCTCCATCACTTCTTTCTGCTTTACTTTCCTCCTAACACTTACTCCCCCTCTAGAATTTAACTCTACACAGGAAGAGACATGGCCTGAACTGGAGTATATCTGTAAACCCAGCACCGTTCTATGGGATGCAGATGTGTCAGTGAAGAAAACACAAAAATCCCTGGAGGAACTTCTGTGGGGATGAGGAGGAGATGTAGGCAATAAATAGAAGTAGATAGTATGCTGGATGGTGATGAGCACAGAAGAGAAAAAGAAAGTGGGAAGGGGTGGGGGTAGTGGTGATGTGTGAGTGCAATGTCAGATCAGAAGGCCTCACTGAGAAGGTGACCAGACCTAGGAGAGGAACAGAGAAAACCCACCAGTATCTGGGGAAGAGCTTTTGAGGTAGGACACTGTAAAGTGCAAAGGTCCTGAGGCCAGAGCATTCCTGGAGTGTCTGAAGACCAATGGTGAGACCAGGTAGCAAGAATGGGGTAAGTGGTGGGGGACAGAGGGCAGCCAGACCATCTAGGGGCTTTCAACTGCCGTGAGAATTGGGCTTTTTTGTGTGAGATGGGGCACCATGGGAGGCTTTAGCATGGGAGGGGCAAGAAGACAGGATGGGAACTGGAGCACATGAGAAGCTGGTCTCAGAAACATGACAGCTCATCAACAGTTACAGGAAAGACTATGGACTCTATGTCACAGGTGCAGGCAGGCAGGAAGATAAATGTGTCAGGAGCTTATGGAACCTTCCTTCTGAGTCCTGCTATTTTCTCAGTGCAACAGGGAGCAACATCATTAGCTGAGAGAATGTGGATGTGGAAGGTATTGGAAGTTTTAAAGGAGAGAACAGGTAGAAATCGTTTCCTAGGTTAGTGGGAGAGTGCCTGCACTGTTGGGAAGCCTAGGCACTGGTGAGGGGCAGACTGAGTAGGAAGAGAGCTGGATTTAGCCAGGACTTAATGAGATGAGTACAAGGGAACAGAAGGGCAACGCAGCTGAGGATGTAGGATTCCAATAAGTGACACAGAATTTAATCACATGTAGAGAACTGGGAAGAATAATGGTAAAGAATTTCATGCACGTTTAGAATGAATGGAGCCAGACTGATCTGGGAAGACTTTCACACATGAACCTTGAATGTCTGGACCCAGGGATAGTCAAGGACTATTTACTGAATATTATTCAGCATGTATTGAACACTTTCATCCAAGGAACCCTGATAGGTACTGCAGGAATATAAGGTCTTATGCTCTGTGAAAAGAACAATTTACCCAGCTAGAAGTAAGAAGTTCTTAAGTGGTCTCAGACATGGCATATGCTTCAGGAAGTGAAATAAGATTGTTTCATCTTTCTCCTAAGTTACCAAATCAACTATCATTAACACTTAGCTGTTATTAGGTATGCACTTCTACTGAGGTTAAATACACGTGTTTCTATGATAATGTAATATATGTGTTCCTGGAAAGCCTACAGTCTGCAGAAAACACACAAAGAAACTGCAGGCTTACTGGGAGAATAGGATTAGACAGATCACTCAAAATATATGCAACTTTGAACCCAGAGCACTAGTCAAAACATTTGAGATCTCAGGAAATAACCAGGACATCTAGGGCGGGCAGCAGGGCTGGAGGTTGCCTCAGGGGTGATGAAAAATGTACAAAAGCAACTGGGGAAATGCTGACTAAGGGAAGGCCAATGGAAGTGGAGCTCTGACCCAGTTAAGTGGGCCCAGAAGGTGGCACCACTTGCTATTACATGACAGCTGAGCAGAACAAGAGGGTGCCTCCAGGGGAGGGAGCCCTGGGGGTGGAAACTTGGAAACTTCCACATTTATATTAAATAGATCCCTATTTATCAATCACAAATGAGCTAACTGATGTCACAGAAAGAATAACTATGTAATCATCTGTCCTAAAATTAAAAAAAAAAATTATACCTATTTGGAAAACACCACTAGAAATTTTAGTTTTTTTTTTTTTTCCCATTAAGCATAAATGTCATTAACTTAACTGCCCCATGCAAAAGTGATTCATAGTTTACCTTCTTGACCTTGGCTTCCTTCAGTTTTTCCAATGCTAGCTTAATTTTATCAGCCTTGGCTAGGGCTGCTTCTTCTTCCTGTAAAACAGCAAGACATTCAACACCATCCACTAGAGAACAGCAGTGAGAAAGTACCTGGGCCATGGCTAATGTCTTAGTTACTTTATGTTGACAAAAGGCTGTGTTAGGAGGCACCGAATCTCACATTTGATTTTCAGAATTTAAATAACCATAACAAAAATGTTCAACCCAAAGAGGTAGAATGCAGTCACTCTTTGTATCTTAGAAATAGTAACTTCAAAGATAAAATGAGGACTCTAAAAGAGCTTCACATATTTAGTCCACAGAAATCTCTGAGTGGCTCAAAACTGGAGTCTAACCTGAGGAATCTACAGGTGGATCTCAAGGGATTTGAGTACTCTCTGAGATTATATACATTTTTCTGGATCAGCATACATTTTCTGGGAGTCTTCGTTTTTATTTGATTCCTAAAGGGGTCCTTAGTTTTCTAAAAGTTAAGACTCATACTCAAACCTAAACTTATAATTCACCAAAAAAACACTGACAAACACATGTGAGCAGGCAGAAAAGAGAGTAAAATATTTTATGAGCCTGAAGCCCTTTATTTTTATTTTTTTTATTTTAGAGAGAGAGATAGAGCACATGAGTAGGGAAGAGGGGCAGAGAGAGAGAGAGAGGGAAGAGAGAGGGAGGGAGAAAGAGAGAGAAAGAGAGAGAGAGAGAGAGAGAGAGAGAGAGAGAGAGGAAAGAGAGAATCTCAAGCAGACTCCACATTCAGTGCAGAGCCCAATGTGTGGGCTCAATGTGGGTCTTAATTCTATAACCCTGGGATAATGACCTCAGCTGAAATTAAGAGTTGGATGCTCAACTGACTAAGCCACCAAGGTGCTCCTAAGGCCCTTTGATTTTTGTAAGTAAATGTTCCACCCTCACTCCACCCAACTACGACATTACAAATAGTTCATAGATATATTTGCTCTATTGAACAGGGTAGCCAAATTCAACAAAATTCCATTTAGGTCAATTCAGAAGTATGTGAGGAATGCTTTCAATTCTTTACATACTGGGCAAGCACCAGAGACAGAGACATGATATAAAATTGGTTGCACTGTTCATGCCAAGTTAATAAAACATTACCCTAAAAGGTTGAGTACTATCAGGGAGTGTCGCATACAAATATAAACTTAAGCTGAGCTATAATAATTCTTGAATATGTCCCCAATATGTTCTTTATACACACCAATGTGTCTTCTTACGGAGGACTCTGGCTTTGCAACAAACGTACTCAGTATCCTTGTTTAAGTATCTCAGAAATTAGGTAATTATGAATGTAACTGTCATTTTGAAGAAAGTCAAAGACCATGGGTAGCAGAAGTCAAGAGTCCTGCCATCCCTGTCCCACACACTTACCTGAGAGAGAGGTTCAGGAGGTGGTGGCGGCAGTGGAAGGTCTAACATGGGATCAGCCGGCGGAGGTGGTAAATCATCCTCATACTGGCTAACACTAGTTACAGCAACATTTGCTCCGTAACCAAGAGCGGCTGCACCGCTGAAATCTGGTATGTTCAGGGGTGCTGGATGATTCTGATTCTGAGAGGGCTCTTTCTGTGCCTGGATTGTCCTCTGCTCAGCCTCACTTATGTCTGCTACCAGATCTGCCATGAGAGCATCTAAATCTTGGTCTTCCAGCGCATTTAAGGACTCTGATAGGAAAAACCACCACGTTAATGATCAAAGTAACAATTTCTACCTGGGAAAACAGAAAGAAGGCCATTTTTTAAAGAATTTTCATTTTTTAAATTAAATATTTATGTTTTAATTTACATCCAAGTTAGTTAGCATATAGTGCGACAATGATTTCAGGAGTAGATTCCTTAATGCCCCTTACCCATTTAGCCCATCCCCCCATCCCACAATCCCTCCAGCAGCCCTCTGTTTGTTCTCTGTATTTAAGAGTCTCTTAGGTTTTGTCCCCCTCCCCGTTTTATATTATTTTTGCTTCCCTTCCCTTATGTTCACCTGTTTTGTATCTTAAAGTCCTCATATGAGTGAAGTCATATGATATTTGTCTTTCTCCAACTGACTAATTGCACTCTGCATAATGCACTCTAGTTCCATTCATGCAGTTACAAATGGCAAGATTTCATTCTTTTTGATTGCTGAGTAATACTTCATTGTGTGTGTGTGTGTGTGTGTGTGTGTGTGTGTATACACATCAAGAAGGTCATTTTTTTTTTATTTTTTTTTTTTTCAACGTTTATTTATTTTTGGGACAGAGAGAGACAGAGCATGAACGGGGGAGGGGCAGAGAGAGAGGGAGACACAGAATCGGAAACAGGCTCCAGGCTCTGAGCCATCAGCCCAGAGCCCGACGCGGGGCTCGAACTCACGGACCGCGAGATCGTGACCTGGCTGAAGTCGGACGCCTAACCGACTGCGCCACCCAGGCGCCCCAAGAAGGTCATTTTTAAGAGTGATATTTGGGTACGGGTTGTCAGGGGCAGGGGTGTGGGAAACAGGGAGAGGCTGGCGAAAGAGTAAAACTTTTAGTTATAAAGATGAATAAGGTCTCAGGAACCAATGTATAACATGGTGACCATAGTTGATAATACTGTTATTTAACTGTAATTTGCTGAGAGAGTAGAATTTAAATATTCTCAACATGTGAGGTGATGGATGTGTTCATTTTTTTTAATGTTTATTCATTTTTGAGAGAGGCAGAGTATGGGGGGGAGGGGCAAAGAAGCAGGCTCAAGGCTCTGAGCTGGCAGCACAGAGCCCAACGTGGGGCTCAAACTCACAAACTGCAAGATCATGACCTGAGCCAAAGTCAGACGCTTAACAGACTGAGCCATCCAGGCGCCCCTATTGATGTGTTAATTAACTCTATGGAGGAAATTCTTTTACATGCATACATATATCGAGTCACTTACAGCTGTACACTTTAAACGTATTACAATTTTGTCAATTATACCTCAACAAAGCTGAATTTCTCCTCCACCCCCCATCCCCCATAAAAGGAGAAAAACTTATTTTCTACCCTCACAGATTAGCTACAAAGTCAGATCCAAGCACATAATTAGTTGCCTAAATAGGAATTCTTGTATATTCTGGTGCAAGAGCTGAGAGTTTTAGAAAAGTAGGGGAGGGGAGATGTTGGAAACAGATGGAAGGGGAGTTTTCCCCAGGCCTTAGGAGAGCAGACAGAGTACCGATGATAAATCTATGCTTTGAGACTTGTGGTAAGGATAGAACTTCTGTAGGCACACCATCCAACTACGGAAACTCTCACATTCAAAGAAAGAGTGATTAATGATTATCAGCAGGAAATAAAGCACTAAGGAGGTTGAGAAGTAAAAAATAATTTTAAAGAACTGGGTTAAGTGGTAAATACTTCATAAGCCGGTGAGCTGAGAGTTAACTTTTAAAAAAGCACGGACACGGATTTTCAGAGTGAGGGTGAGGAAGGACAGTTCTCACTGGAATTTCTTCCATGTGTGATCGGTGATTGGACATGTGATCCTGAAAGCTGACAGACTGTGGGGCCTATGGGGGAGTGGTGTCAGTGAGCATTGTTAGAGGAGTGCTTTGGTGAGCAGGCATTCACTGGATGGCAAATGTAATGAACACAGGATGGGCAGTATGGAAGGGATTCATGAGGAAGAAGAGTCACCTGCTACGTGCAGGATGAAGTGGAATGAGGAAATGCAGCTTACTCAGCAACGACCATGAAGCTCTGTGAAATAATTTATTGCCAAACACCATCATAGTAAATACCAAGTAGCATATTATACTCATGCTGATAGTTCTAGTGTATAGCACTTGGACTCAAGTAAATGTGTAAAAAGGATTTATTTTCTTCTAAGCCGTTTTTGCATATAACTTCTTCATAAAATTGAATTAATTTAAAAATTTTCAAAGAAAATATATGTAGAACAAATGAAGTATATTCATAATTTCCTAATGTCAGCAATTATGTTGTGACTGTTGCCATATGAGCAAATTATTTTAATCCTTTATAAAAATTTTAGGGACAGAGTTCCCATAACAGTTCTCATATTAACAATTTCTAAAGAAAATCATAACCTTAACTATATCAATACAGAAGTGAGCAATACAGAATTGAATGGGTTCTGTTCGGAAGTCTTTAACTCTCTGAATGACTTTGGGCAAAATATTTTTAACTTATTTTAGCAACATTTTAAGTGAAGACAGTAAAAAGCCTATTTCTTTTCTAATTACCAACACATTTAATTTTCAGTACACATAAGTAGTTTTTAATGGTTTTGTCCTCTACCCAAATTGTGCCTCATGGATATGTCTTATCTTCTAGTCTTAATGACATGAGTTTCTCGTGACTATACTTAAACAATACTATATTATTGTGGGGATTCTTTGTTTCTGTCGTTTTCAGTAATTTTTGGATACTAGGTACTGAGTGCTTAGAAAGCAGTAGTTGAGTCGTCTATAACTGCAGTATTGATTAATTCTTCTAATTGAACTGATTAAAGCACTCAGCCATGGTGAGTGTGATTAGGCAAAACCCGCACTGTTCATATGTGCAAGTATATGTTATTTATTAATGTCAGACAGTTTACCAAGGTGTATGGCTTCTTTTGAAATGTCATGAATGTTACCATCACTCAATCTTATGATGGAAATAACTGCCAGGAATAGTTAAGTTTATATGGCAAACATAAAAGAAGGTAGGAAAAGAAGTCAGAAGAAATGTATTATAATTTGTCCAGGTATAGGCATTGGCACCTAAAGGTTTATAAAAAAATTACTAAAAATAACAGAAACAAAGAAACTCAGTGACAGAAAAAAACTTGGAATTCTGGATTTCTGTAACTGGGCTTCTCTATTTGTTTTTCACTTTTTTGGTGGGTACTGCACGTCTTTGGAAAATCTTTTTTCAAGAGTTGCAGTGAATTCTCACTGGAAGCAATTACTACAAGATTCATTGTAGTTTGAAAAAGCACATGGGCTAAAGATTGTCTTCGTAGTAAATAAGAAGACAGATTTTTGTTAATAAAATAATGTGATGATTTCAGGGAAGATAAAAAATAGAGCAAATACATATTAATTATATATCAATTAAAATATATTTTGAAGCACCCATACATATATTATCAATCATTCTGAAATGAATAGTTCATTATTATCTTTGAAGGGACATTTCCTTATTAATATTTTTTTATTCTATTATAGCTTCTTACTCTTGGGGCTTAGTACTAGGAAGAAACTCCCTTTACTTAAAAAAAATAGCTTTGATACTCTACATAAATGCAGGACAGTATTCCCTTTCATTGTAGGCAAAAATATCTTTTTGGCCCCCCAATTTAATCCAAACACCATAAAACACAAGCCGAAATCCAGGAGTTTAAAATGTCCAGGTTCCTTACATTTTTGTTTTCAAATCATAGTTCTGTACAGATGTTAGTCATTGTTATGATTTCAAATTACTTAAGAAATTATTTTGCTTACCATTTAAATCCTTAAAACCCACACTGTAGTTGAATTCAGCTCTGGGTGGTTTGGGGTCAGGAGGAGGAAGAGTGTCAACTCCTAAACTCTGTGAAAATAGATCCCCGTCCTCAAAGTTATTTACCACATTAACATGTCTGCAGTATATTTTAATCATTAAGACAAAACCATTTATTGTTTACACATTTTCTTTCTAAATATGTTCTTTAAAAACTGTATTCTTACATGAAAAATGCTTTATGTGATTTTTTACCCCTACAGAAAATGACTACATCAAAATGGTTCTACAAGGTATACCTTGAAACAGCAGGTCAACATAGAATGATGAGCATGAGATAGTTAATTTTCAGGAATAACAGATAAATCTCCTGTAATGGTGCATTTGTGACACATATCGTGTGTAATTCTTGTAAGGACTTAAGTAATGACATCAAAGAAAAGGAATGTCTAGTCACTTGGAAGATCAAAGTTGTTTCAGGATGAATCTGCCAGTACATAATAAAATATTATGCTTTTTCTTTTTTTTAAACTGTTTTTATTTATTTTTGAGAGAGGGAGAGAGAGCTGGGGAGGGGCAGAGAGAGGGAGACACAGAACCCTGAAGTAGGCTCCAGGCTCTGAGCTGTCAGCACAGAGCCTGATGCAGGGTTTGAACTCGTGAACCTCTAGACCATGACCTGGGCTGAAGTTGCACACAATCCACTGAGCCATCCAGGCGCCCCTATGCTTTTTCTTATCTAATAAAACTCTTATTAAAAAGAAATTAAGACAGAATTAAGTTATCAATTTTGTAAATAAAAGCTTTGGATTGAAAAGGTGACTTCCTCCATGATTTGAAAGCTATATTACACATACAATCTAAATTTCCAAAAATGTTTTTATGTCTGTAGTTTGAGAGGTGATTTCCCCCATCCTGCAACATGAACATGTTCATGATAGTAAGTGCATCCTTTGATGTTAATTGGATTTGGTAAATAATATCCTTGTTCATGTCTTAGATGTCTGAAGGAAATGAATCATTATACATTTGAGAATAAAACAATGGAATATCCTCAATTATAAGTAGAAACAAAAAAAGACCATTAATTAAGAAGTTAAAAAAATTAACCCAAGCAAGTTAGTATTAAGGATAAAGTGTAAGGAAAAGTGACTGCAGCCCCAGAATTCATTCTGAAAAACAGAATAAGCAAAACTGTGGAGAAGAGAGGAAGTTGATTGATTAAACAATGGGGCAAATACCAGAACAAAGGAAAGTACAAAAAATTTCATCAATGAGCTCCTTCACCATGACTAAGAAGTCTAACATCACAATTAGGGTAGCTGATTAATCTTTGCTCAGGACATAATTACCATGCTATTCAAAGAAATCAGAAGTAGTTCTCTAACAAAATATTAATACATACATGTGTGATAAAACAGGCTTCCAGTTAGAGAGAAGGAAAAAAAGAAAGGAAATTGATTTCCAGAAGGAGTTCCCTTTATCCTAGGAAAGTCACTCAAAGCCCAAAATGAAATAAAGAATGTAGCATGTTCTCTACGTGTCTGGTGTGGCCTGTGAATGATTTTAGGTGGTATACAAAAACGCAATGAAAATTTAAATTATTGGGTATCTCCTTTGGATGTCTGAGAAGAAATCAAGTTAGAACATCTACTTGAGACAGAGTTTAATTTTAAAAACCAATTAATGACAAACATTAAGAAAATAATAGGACAGTGGGTTGCAGCATGACAAAAATTATGAAAGTGATATGTGAATGACTAAAGATTGAGAACATTGCTCTGTACTCACTAACCTTAAAAATCATATGCTTCAGTGTGTATTTCATCAGATGTTGTATAATGGTGACTTTCTAATTCTTCATTCCTTTTCAATGTTTAATTGGAACTTTACTATATTTTTTATTTTTTTTAATGTTTATTTATTTTTGAGACAGAGGGAGACAGAGCGTGAGTGGGGGAGGGGCACAGAGAGAGGGAGACACAGAATCCGAAACAGGCTCCAGGCTCCGAGCCGTCAGCACAGAGCCCAACGCGGGACTCGAACCCACAGACCGCGAGATCATGACCCAAGCCGAAGTCAGCCGCTCAAGCGACTGAGCCTCCCAGGCGCCCCCAGTTGTTCTTTTTTTAAAGATAGCTCTCTCATCATATTAAAATCAAATACTGTAAACCCATCTTTTACTAATTTCAAGTTAAAAAGAGGATCTTACCTGGGTCAGGAGATCCATCTCTCCCAGCAAATTGCTGAACATTTGGTCTATATCTTCATTTGACTCACCCATCTGAAAAACAGAAAAAAAAATGCAGATATAAGCAATCTAATAAAAGCCTGGTCCCTGGATAATTGTCTCATCTCTTTATTTCCCCAAGAGCTGTATCCATGGACAAGTCAAAAAGAGAAGGCTATGGAGAGAAAGGTTCCTTTCAGCCCGAAATTCCATCCCTGACCTCTCTCCAATCTGCTTGGTCCAAGACTCAACCAAGCCCTCGGCACTTTGTCAGAGCGACAATTAGACTCTATTTTCTCAGACTAAACTAGTCTCCATGGGTCCAAGTGGACAAAGTGGGTAGCTAAAAAATCGGGATGGCCAGGAAGGGCAAGGAAGGGGACTTCAGTTAAAACAAGAGATGGCCACGAGACCATGGAACTAGCACATTCCTAAGTAGCAGACACACCTGAAAGAATCAAGTGTACATGCATGTAGGCAGGGAGGCATATATTTGAATCCAAGGAAGCCATTCAGTAAATGCTTGGGGTCAGACCACGCAAGGTAAGGAGGTGTGGGTCTGTGTGTAAAAGTCTGAGTCAGGGAGGATGCAAACACAGCATCAGTGAACAGAGATGGGATAACAAAGAGGGAAGATCTCATTTTAGGTAGGTTGTTGGGCTGTATTTATCACAGTCTGAGAGGGAAAGACTGCTGCAGGCAGGTCCTGCCTCTGGTTGGGGAGGGGAGCAATACCAGGATCCACTCACAGGTGGTTTCAATCCCTCCCAGTTGCTTCCAAAACATTTGAACCACACCCTCCCTTCTTTAAATTACCTATAACATGGAAAAAAAGAAAGTATGTCAACAAAGTACTCACACACTGTCCTCTCAAACAATTCATCTGGTATTCAAAATCTTGTGATGGATGATTCATTTATTACTTTAATTTTTAAATGTTTATTTATTTTTCAGAGAGAGAGAGACAGAGAGGGAGACACAGAATCCAAAGCAGGCTTCAGGCTCTGAGCTGTCAGCACAGAGCCCGATGCAGGGCTCAAACCCACAAACCAGAAGACCATGACCCAAGCCAAAGTTGGACGCTTAACTGAGTGAGCCACTGAGGCACCCCATTTATTACTTTAATAAGAGGAAATTAGCAGGATAAACAACAAAATTCCAGAAATACCCATGTGAATTTATTTTCATCAGGATATTATGCAGTACAATGTGACAAAATAAAAAAATCCTTCAGATGAATTATTATTAACAGGAAAAGTTAGGAGTGTTAAGAGTATCGTGGTGAACATTTCATAACATATATAATTGTCAAATCACTATCTAGTATACCTGACACCGATATGCAAACTATATTTTTATTTTAAAAAGAGTGTTAGCATTAATACATTTTAAATCTTTCATAAGAGAAAAGTAATCCACTCAGAGTAGAAAAAATAAATTTATTTGCTGATCTGAAAAGTGCCTTCCAGTGTTACAAAAAAACTCATAGAAAACAAAGATGATGTTAATAAAAAGAACACTGCCATTAATGATTTCTCTTAAATCATTAAATTTGGAAAAACACTAAAATGATGAAGATAAAGTTTTGGAAACAAATGTGACAATGATGAATCAGAAAAACCTATTGAGCCCAAAGACCTTAGTTTCTCAGCCTGTAGACACCACCCATACATAGCGGGCTAAGGACATGCCAGAGTGAATCACACACCTAAGATGGAAATAACTCAAAACAACAGCATTCTCATGACCTTTGCTGAAACTCTTCCTGTGTTCATCTGGTAAAAATCTTTCCCCCTGCCCTTTCATTCCTTTTTCCTAGAGTCTGTTGGTATTGGATTATTAAAAGGAGTCAACCTCAAAATCAGGCTGTAAATCTGCTATTGAATGAATCACAGTTTAAAAGAGTTTGTAACCTTGGTGAAAATGAGACATTTGAGTTAAGGGCCTTTTTAACATAAATTTGGACTGGAGAGGCTGGGTGGCTCAGTCAGTTAAGCATTGGACTCTTGGTTTCAGCTCAGGTTATGATCTCACAATTTGTGAGTTTGCACCCTGCAATGGGCTCTGCACTGACAGGTATGGTGCCTGCCTGGGATTCTCTCTCTCCCTACTCTCTGCTGGTCTCTCCCAAAATAAATGAACTTAAAAACATAAAGAAAACATAAACTTGGATTAATCTGCAAGTTCAACCATCTTACATATTTACCCCCCCTACAAGAAAACCTTATTTTTGGCATAGACAGAATAAGAGTTACAGGGATATATACGTATGTATATAGTGTATATACATACGCACACATCTAAGCACATGAAAAAATAGGGCTGCGTCTATCTGGATCTGTGGTATCCTCCAAAGGTCAAAATCAAGATTAAAAAGACAGAGAGCCAAAGAGAGAAAGAGAACACCCAGCCCTGATAGCTCAGAATGTTATTTGGGTCAGCAGTCCAAAAGAGCAGGGGTGGAGCAGCCTTACTGAGGCAATGGATTGCAAAACAAGCAATGTGCACATCATGATTGGGTGGAATTAACATTTTTTTGTGAGTATGTAATTTTTGAGTTCCTTTTGGGTCTGGGGAAGAATGACAAACTGTTGATTAAGAAAAACTGGAATAATACTTTACCAAATAGATTTGTTTTGATTTTTTTTTCATGGAAGGAAGGGAGTAGCTAGAAGAGGGGTGGGTCATTGAGGTTGCACACTCAGACTGAAATTCTACGTTAGAGAATCCCTGAATGACAACAGAATTTCCCATAGTGCTCAGTATTTCCTTAAGGCTCAAATTTCTAAGCTTCAGTTTTTATCCTCAAGTAGTTTCTCTTCTCCATGTATATAAATTTTTTTTAATGTTTATTTTTGTGAGACAGAGAGAGAGAGATAGGCACAGAGAGAGGGAGACAGAGAATCTGAAGCAGGTTTTGCACTGTCAGTGGGCTTGAACCCATGAACTGTGAGATCATGACCTGAGCCAAAGTTGGACACTCAACCGACTGAGCTACCCAGGTGTCCCTGTTCTCCATGTATATAAATCTCATAGATAACATTCAAATATACATATTTGAAAATCTATCCACACAATGGATTAACAATTCCAGCCATAATTTTGGGCCTAGATCAGGACAGATCTTACTTTATCTGTCAGAGTAGTTTGCCTCAAAATAGCCCATCCAGTATCTTACGGGCACTTCTATCATTATTGCCCTTCTGGTGCATTCTCAACCACATGCCCTAACTTGGCTAATAGTCATTATTCACTTATTAGTCCGATTTAGAAACCTTGGCCTAGTCCTTGACTCCTCCCATTCTTCCATCTAATAGTAAAAAAAAAAAAAAAAAAAAAAAAAAAAAAAAAAAAGAAAGAAAAAAAATCCTGTTGGTTTTTTCCTGTAGAGCCCTCTCCTTTCCTTCATCCTCACTATCAAGCCATGGTTCAGCCCCTCATCAGCTTATCCCACCTCCAGCTTCCTAGATCTCCTGCTCAAGTCTCACTACTATCACTGCAAATTGGATGAATCTGAAATGCAGATTTGAGTGTGTCACTCTTTTGCTTAAAACCATGCCATGGTGATCATGATGAAGTAAGTGCAAACAGTTCAGGTCTCAGCCTATCTTTCAAAGTCCTTCATAGCAGCCCTTGACATTGTCTGAAGAGGCTTTAAAAATTCTCTTTGCCTTTGTATATGCTTCCCTATCCATGTATCCTTCATAAAATCCTAATTATTCAAAATCCAGCTCTCATGTCAACACTTCAATGGTATCTTCATAGCCAGCTGGTAACCATATTTGTAAATCCTGGCCCCAACAACAACCTTGATAAGGTATTTCACCTTCTTAGGTTTGTTTCCTTGTCTGTAAAATAAAAGGAATAACATGTGATTCATAGGATTGTTGACATTTTGCAAGATACTATATGGTTCTTGGCATAAGCACTCAGTAATAGCATTTACCATAGTGAATTATGCTCTTTTTTTTAAAAAAATGTTTTATTTATTTATTTTGAGAGAGAGACCGAGCGAGTAGGGGAAGTGCAGAAAGAGAGGGAGAGACAGAATCCCAAGCAGGCCCCACACCCAGTATGGAGCCAGAAAAGAGATTCAGTCCCATGTGAGATCACAACCTGAACTGATATCAAGAGTTGGATGTTTAACCGACTGAGCCACCCAGGCTTCCCAAATCATGTGTTTTTGTTACTGTGTTTGAACCTGTTTCCAGACTGGGAACTGTTATTAAGTAAGGATCAGATCTCATTCATCTTTGTGTTTAAAAATGTTTTGGGGGCACCTGGATGGGCCAGTTGGTTAAATCTCCAACTCGATTTCCGATCAGGTCATGATTCTTCATAGTTCATGAGATCGAGCCCTGAGTCGGGCTCCACACGCTAACAGTGCGAAGCCTGCTTGGGATTCTCTCTCTCCCTCGCTCTCTGCCCCTTCCCCACTCGTGTGTGTGTGTGTGTGTGTGTGTGTGTGTGTGTGTGTATGTGTGTGTGCGTGCACACACTTCTCTCTGTCTCTCAAAATGAACAAATAAACTTAAATGCTTTGTTGAAAGCCTAGAGAGAATAACCTCCCAGCCTAGTGGGAAGAAGTGAGCTAAGGCTGAGGTCTCAGACCACACAGAAAACTCTATTAATCCAGCTTCTATGCCCAGACGTGGATCCTGCTGCATTGCACTCAGACATGTGACATTCCAGGGCTGGACAGTCCTTGGGAGGTCACTAAGTCCCAGGATTCCTTTAACTATCAAGACATTTAAACAGAAAGTCTGCTTCTAAAGCTGCTGTCACAGCTGTAGGATTGTGGAACCTCACTCACTAGAGCAACAGTTCACTTTTTTTAGTGCTAAATGAATGAAAACTGAAATTTATACCAATAAACTCTATTGGTAAACACAAAGGTTTCATTGGGGCTTATATATACTTAGGCCTCAATCAGTTTTCATGCTCACAATTTTTGCTGCTTTGAGAAAAATCTAATAGCTATCAGGCAATTTGGGTGACATTATCAATGGCATTCTTTCTTATCTAATTAAATTTGAAGTCAGTTAATGTTTCAA